TCTCTCTCTCTCTCTCTCTCTCTCTCTCTCTCTCTCTCTCTCTCTCTGTGTGTGTGTGTGTGTGTGTGTGTGTGTGTGTGTGTGTTTGTGTGTGTGTGTCTGTGTGTCTGTGTGTTTATTTTGAGAGGGAGGTCGCAAGGGCAAATACAAAGGGCCACGGAGATGAGTGGGGCTATGGTACATGATGTGAAACTCACAAAGAATCAATAAAGAGGTATTTTTAAGTAGATGACTATGTCCAATTAGAACAAACTACCTTTTGTATGTTAATTAAACAAAAGAAAGAGTCAGCCTTGAGTAGATCTCACTAGCTTATATATACCTTGGCTTAGGCATCTTACCTGTGCCATTATCTTTAAATCTCTGTTAGATCCTGGACCCAGGTTTTACTTGGAAAAGTTTAAACTGAGAAAGGAGGCTGCAAATCTGGCCACATGTGCAGATGGGAGATTTATTGCCAGAATTATTTGTTAAGTACAACCATCTCATTCTTTCATGATGAGTTGTTACCTAGGGTCATCTTGCCCATGTGAAAGACCTCATTAGAACATGGGGGAATTAATGATAGACCAGAACTTAATAATGGCTGTGAACCTAAGCCATCTTCCTTCAATGTTTTTTAGATGATGTCTTTTTTCTAGGAATAGACATAATGGTCAATGAATAAACACATTTTAGCATCCTAAATCTCATTCATCTATAACAGGTCAGCTTCACATGCTGCTTATTTTGGAGGAATGGGGGGAGGGGCAATGATCCATTACCTAACTTCTGCTTTGTATGATTTAATGTCTCCTGAGCAAATCTATTAACATCAATCCTATTGCTTTGAATTTCTTCTACACTAGACACAGTCAGAGAGGACAGAACATTCAGAGCCCAACCTCAGCATGTCTCACTTTACATGAAACCCTACACTGCGAACAGCATCCAATGGGATGCCTAACTGTGCACTGACCAGTTAGTCTGATAGACAGAGAGCTAGATCCCAAATCATCATTGTTGCTTATTGGGCCTCTCAGAGGGCAGCCATGCTAGGCTTCTTTCTGTAAGCACACCATAACATCAGTAATAGTGTCAGGCCTACGAGCCTCCCCTTAAACTAGACCCCAATTTGTGACAGTCACTAAACCTACATTCCCTCAGTCTCTTCTCCACTTTTGTCCCTGCAGTTCTTTTAGACAGGGACAATTCTGGGTCAGAGTTTTTGACTGTGGGATGGCAAGCCCATTCCTCCACTTGATGCCCTGTCTTTCTACTGGAGGTAGACTCTACAAGTTCTCTCTCTCTACTGTAGGGCATTTCATCTAAGGTCTCTCTCTTTGAGTCTTGAGAGTCTCTTACCTCCCAAATCTCTGGTACATTCTAGAGAGTCCCCCCACCTCCTAACTCTTGAGGTTTCCTGTTTCCATTCTTTCTGTTGGCCCTCAGGGCTTCACTCCTGTCCCCCCTCCCAATACCTGATCATCTGTCCTCCCTGTCCCCTCTCTCACCCAGGGAAGAAGTGACTAGAGGAAAAAGTGGGGAGAGGAGCATTGCGTAGAATACAGCATAACAGCGTTTCAAAGCAATGGGTAAATTAAATGGAAACTGATAACTAAAAACTCAGAAACTGAAGGTCTGAAAATTGCTGTCCTATTTATTGCAATTACTGAGTTTTTTTTTCCTTTATTAGTGTATCATATATGATTTCTCTAGTACCCAAAACCTCAGTCTTCAGGTTTGATCTGTAAGACCTGAGTGAGACTGGAGGACAATGGTATAGAAACTAGCATCCCTAAGACATCTCCTCACTCCCCTTTGCAGACACTTACCCTCCACGAAGCAGAGGAAAGATAAAGTCAAGATGAGCGCTATGCCGATTTTCGTCACTGGATTCATGTTGGATGTTAGAAGGTGGCTTGAGTTAAAGGATGGCCACTCGCTCTCTATATAAAGCTGGAGAATGGGCAGGAATCTCCAACACAGGTGCAAGGAGGAAGTGACCTTTTCTTTTTCAAGAAATCAGATGTACGATAAAGTGGGAAGTACAGCTGTCCACCTATCTAGCTGACAGCTACAGCTGAGATCCTATTACTTTTGTTTTCCAGGTGAACTTGTCATTGTCCGCCTCCATTGTCTGAGCTTCCTTCAAAACCAATAACTAACCACTAAGGTCTTTCCGGTCTCCTTGTTGGCATTGTCTTCTGTAGGAATTAGGTATGTGGCTTGTTCTAAGACCGTAACCAACAGGCTCTCCCTTTCCTTCTGCATACTATTCACACATTGGATGCTAACCACAACTCTAGGAAGTATGAATTATAGTTTCAAATGAAATAATAATCTCAGAAAGGTTTGGTAATATTTCAAGGTCACGCAGCAGGTAGCAATTTGCAAGGGATGTGAGCCCATGATTGTCTGCAACGGACTCATATTTGAGATGCAAATTGTCTTGTTTAGAAATTATAATATTTTCTAATTAGTGACTTTTTTGTATATTTCTCAAGCCTTGAGAAACAGATTAAGTTCCCATGATTGCACAAAATTAAACAAGAAATTCAATTCTATATTCCTTGAGTTATGTACTTTTATCAATTTCCTATTTCTATGGTAAAAATTAACTGTAATTTATTTATTTATTCATTTTAGTATGTAACACAGATTACAGTCTTAAAATTGTGGAGGACAGACATATTTCCTGGGGCTATAATAAAGATATCAGCAGCTTGCTGGTTCCTCTTCACTGAAGGAGAAGATGTTTCATTGGCTTTTTATTCTGCCTTCAATAGCCTTCAATATGCCTTAACTTAAGACACATCACATTTCTCCATCTTCAAAGTATATAACTTCAAAATCTGCTTTCATAATTATATCACATTTTTCATTCTTTCCACAAATAGTGTCCTCTCTCTCTCTCTCTCTCTCTCTCTCTCTCTCTCTCTCTCTCTCTC